CGGCTCCCACGCGCGGAGCGCGGCCTGAGCCCCGCGCGGGGCCGCCCCCGGCCGCGGCCCCGGGGAGCGGCTGCATCGGGCTCCCCCGACGGCAGCTCGCGGAGTGCAGCATCGGGCCCCTCGATGGGTCCCCTCAGCCCCGACGGCGGCGGCTTCAGCCTCAAGTGCTGCGGGTCACCCGGCACCGCAGAGAGCTGAGATCCCCGGGACACGCGGACACCCTCCAGCTCCTCCTGATCTGCCCCAAAGGGTGAGTGGGGAAGCAGGAGGCCTCCGCAGAGGTAACGGGGAGTTTGCGGCGCACGAGCCGAGCGGGACGCCCCGCAGCATTTATTGCACGTACGAAGCCGTGGGGTTGGACAAATGTTCACTCCGTGAGCGTGGCGGGGAGCAGAGTATATTACAGGACATGGAAACGATGCTCAGAATGCAACGTACAGAGCAGTTTGGTTTGTACCACATAGGAAAAATATATATAAAAAAAAGCAATCAACCCCCCAAACAGCCCCCCCAGCCCGACATACACACAGGGGGTAGGGCTGTTGCCCACCCCGTCCATCCTGGCCTATGTACAAGGAGAAAAGTGGTGCCGACGTGGAGCCGATGGGAGCCCCTGCTTGCCCGTGTCCTGTGTCCAGCCGCTCGTCCCACAGCAGCAAGAGGAAGAAAAGGGGCGACCTCAGATGGGCGAGGCGGCCGTCGCGCTTGCAAAGTCCATTGTGGGGCTGTGCTGCTTGGAAGTATAAGAAATAGAAAAAGAAAAAGAAAAAGAAAAAGAAAAAGAAAAAGAAAAATAACATGAGCAATTCCCCGTTCCTGACCTTTGGAGCTGGTGCAATTCCGGCAATGTTGTCCTTTGGTTTGCGCCCGCCGCCCGACTCCACAGCCCGACCAGGGCAGCGGGAACTCAAGCAGTGTCTGACTTTGGTCCCCGAGGCCAYGGGCATTGGGGCATTGGTTATGGATCAGAAACACCGTGTAGGGATGGGGAAGGGTGGGAAGCGGGGGAATAAAACTGCTCCCAGCTTTGGAGATACGGGGGGAACAAAATTACTTACTGCGCAACAAGGGAAGGTGCCACCACGTCGGAGTCTGAAACGCTGTCCAGAAACCGCCCAGGGAGCAAAATAAATAATAATAAGAAAGGGAAAGCAGGAGCGAGGAGCACGGCCGGGCGAAGCCCCAGCACACGTGGCTCCTGCGCCCGGCCCTTACCCAGCTCCTGGCTCCGGACGCAGGAACGGGGGGACCAGAGGGGCAAAGGGGCCGGGCGGGCGGCGGCGCCCGGCTTCACATGCAGCTTGTGTTAAGTTAATGTGAAATAATCATAAAAAAAAAAAAAGAAAATATCCAACAACATTTATGCGTCTCCATTGTGTTTTAAATTAATCTGGTCGCTCTGTAGAAAATAAGTATGTATAATTTTTTTTTGTTTTCCGTTTTTCTTCTCTCCCTATGTACACACATAGATGTATATATATATAATATATATAGCTATAGAAAAGCCCGYCCGGGGCGCGGCGGGCAGTGGGGGGGTCCCTTAGGTCAAGGCGGTGGCGCCGCTGAGAGTCGTTTTGCGGCCGCGGGGGGCGGCGGGGGGCGGCGGGTGGCAGTTCGAGGTGCCGTTGAGGAGCCCCCCGGTGCCGGGGGGCGGCGTGGCGGCGGCGGGGGGGGGCAGCGCCCCGGGGCTCGGCGCCTTCTCGCTGCCGGAGTCGCCCTCGGAGGCGCCGCTGGTGCCGGTGCCCTCGGAGGCGGGCGGCGGCGGCGGGCGCAGGCGCTTGCACGTCGGCTCCACGCGGTACCTCAGCGGCAGCGGCCCCGTCTGCAGGCGGCAGCGGGGGGAACGTGGGTGGTGCGTGCGGGGGGGGCACACGCGTCCTCCCCGGCTGCCGCCGGCCCCCGTCGCCACGCGGAGCTTCCCGGATTCCCCCCCGGATTCACCCCCGGATTCGCCCTGTGGCTCCAAGCGCCGGYGGGGGGTTATTTCCCACCCTGGGCTGGTGCTTTGCACGGTGCACGGCACCACTCCGACCATCCTCGCATCCTACGGAATAGCCTTCCCGAGGACACCCGCTAATTAACAGGGGGTATTCAACATCCTAATGAGAGGTACCCGCCGCGTGGTGCCCCAGGTGGGCGCTCACCCGCCTCCAGGGGTAGATGTAGGCGATGTCCATCAGGGTGTAGTAGTCCTTGAGCGGCTCGTCCTCGTAGAGCACCTCGACCTGCCGCGGGGACGGTGTTGGAGCGGGGGCGGCCGCGCCGCTGCCCCCCCAGCCCCGCTGTGCCCCCCGGGTCCGGCYCCGCGCCGCCCCGCRCGCCCACCTTGTACTTGCTGGGCACATCCATCTTGTTGCGCAGGAACTTGGCGAGGTGCAGGACGGTCATGGCAGCGGGGCAGCGCAGGAAGCGCACGCCGCCCCCGGCGCCCCCGCTCCCCTTCTCCAGCTCCCCGTTCTCCACGGGGCCTTTCCCGTCCTCCCTGGCGGGGTGGGAATGCGGGACCCCGCCATGGGGGAGATGCTGGAGGCTCCGCGGCGGCAGAGCCGCCGGCTGGCGGCGCGGAGCTCGCGGCGGGCACGCGGGTACCTGGTGGCCTCGTAGAACTCGATGGACAGGCTGACGATGTCGTCGTCGGCGAGCGCGCTGCGCGGCTGCGGCTGCTGCGGCTCGGCCGCCGCGCCGCGCTCCTCGCCGGAGCCCTTGGGACCTGCGGCGGCGCGCGGTGAGYGGCGGCAGGGAACGGGGATGGATTGGGCGGGATGCGGAAGGACAAGAGGGGATGAGACAGGAGACGGGATGGGATGGGTGAGGATGGGACAAGATTGGACGGGACGGGATGGGATGGGACGGAATGGGATGGGATGGACAGGATGGGATGGGACAGAATGGGATGGGATWGGGTGCCATGGGATGGGACAGGGCCGGAGCGGAGGGGATGGATCACGCGGGATGGGGAAGGACAAGAGGGGACAAGACAGGAGGAGATGGGACAGGATGGGTGAGGATGGGACGACATTGGACAGGATGGAATGGATGGAATGGACGGGATGGATTCCATGGGATGGAATAGGACAGGATGGGATGGGATGGACAGGATGGGATGGGGTGCCATGGGATGGGACAGGGCAGAACAGGATGGGATAGATGGAATGGGACAGGATGGGATGGGATAAGACAAGATGGGATGGCAGGACAAGACAGGATGTAACGGGTCAGGATGGGTCAGAACAAGACGGGATGGGCCGGGATGGGCCGGGGCCGCGGGCGCTCACCCTCCGCCGCGGGGTAGGCGCTGTAGAAGTTGCGGCGCCGCTTCATCTCATCTGGGGGAGGAGGAGGAGGACGGGGAGCGTTCGGACGGGAACCAGCAGCTCCCGCAGGACCCCCGGCTGCTCCTACCTTTGAAAAGCCCTGGCACCAGTTTGTACACGATGTCCTGCAGGGTCTTGTCTGACCTAGGGAGAGAAACACATTAAAAAAAAAAAAAAAAAAAAAAAAAAAAAAAAAAAGAAAAAAAAAGGGGGGGAAGAGGGGAGGGGAAATAAAAAAAAAAGAAAAAAAAAAAAAAAAAAAAAAACAGAGAAAAAAAGTAAAGAAAAGGGAGAGAAGAGCGATGGGGTCTGTCAGGGAATGGGGAGTAATCTATTGCAAAAAGAATCTATTGCAAAAATGTGCCAAGAGCTTCGAAAAGCCTAAGCTCTGCACACGCTTTTGACTGCTTGGGCTTGCATCTTGGTTTTAAGGTTAGATGCAGTTTGCTTTTTGAAAGGAAAACGCAAACAAAGCAAGAGCAGTAAAAGCTGATTGCAGCTGCAATTATCCCCCTTTTAACAGCAAGGCCTCTGTTTTCAAGAAAAACCAGTGCCAGGGCCAGTCTTGCACGTGTTATTTTTAGCTGAAGCGGCGCTTTCGTCCCCGCGTCCCTGCTGGGCTTGGCCCTGGAGCCGTTTGGGTTGCAACACGCCGGCCACGCTGGGGACATGCAGCAATTCCCAGTGCACGAATGGAGAAGAAGCCAGCGCCGGGAACGGGAGGTTAGGATCCCCATCAGGAGCATTCGCCCCATTCCAGGCAAGGAAGAGCCTTGAGGGCATCCGCAATGCCGGGATATTTCAGCTGCGTGGGAGCTGGAGTGTAAATATTTCATAGTGAAATGTAAAAAAAACCCAACCCACACAGAGAGAAAGTGTTACTACAGAAACGGATCTGCATGGAAGAGGGTAAAAAACAGGAAATAACAGCGGAGCGGCTGCGGATGGATGGACAGTGGCACCGAGGGTTTCTATGCCAACACCTGCAGCACGATGGCCCCGTGGCCTGGGAGGTGTCTTGGAGCGGTCCCTGCCTCGCCGAGCAGGGTGCTCCAAGCACAGCCTGGCTGCGGGTGCATGGTGCAAGCTGGAGCAATGCACTGCATCCCTGTGCATGCATCCCTGTGCATGCAGCCCTGTCCAGTGCATCCCTACACAATGCATCCTGTGCATGCATCCCAACGCGGTGGATCGTGGGTGGATCCATGCCAGCAGGATGCATCACGGCATGCCACGTCCCGTGTGCGGCATCCTCGGGAAGCCTGACCTGATGCTGAGCAGGGGCCGGGTTTTGTGCACTTGGACGTCACACATGGGGCAGTACTTGTTGGTCTCCAGGTAGCGAACGATGCAGGTTTTGCAGACTGGGGGGACAGAGGCACCGTGAGCGAAGCCCGGGGAGGGCAGCGTTGTTGCCCCCGGCCCCGGGGGGACTCACAGGAGTGCAGACACTCCACGATGGTGGTGGCGTCAATGAAGTAGCCGCCGCACAGGGCGCACATCAGGTGCGGGTTGAGCTCCGTGATCTTTATCCGGGTGGTTCTGTGCATCTTGGAAGCGGAGCCGTGACGGAGACTCTGTGCAAGGAAACAACCTGCTCCGACCGGGGCCACGCCGAGCGGGATGCGCGGCGTCCCGGGATGGCCCGTGCAGTGCCAGCACCRCCATGCGCTTCCCCACGGCTGCACCAGTGCAGGGAGGCGGCAGGAATGGTCAGCGGGCGTGCACGGACCAAAACGCCCGTGCACAAGCACGCAGACCCCAACACACGTGTGTGCTGACACATGCATGCATGCTCGCGTGCTCACCCGTGCACAAGCACGTTTCTGTTTGCTTCTAGGGTGCAGGTGCCCACAACCAGCACCCCAGGGTCTCAGTGGGCGCAGGGGGGACCCGGCAGTCGCCCGGTGCAGCCGCAGCCCTGGAGCATTTTGCTGCCTCCCACTCACCGCGTCCACCTTTACAATGGGCGCCAGGGCCCGCAATCGCTGCATTTTTATTGTTTCTATGGCAACCCCAATACTTGGCTAGGAGCCATATTATTATTATTATTATTATTATTATTATTATTATTATTATTATTATTATTATTACCACCACCGCTGTGCTAGGCAGAGGCAGGGGGGGCGGCTCCAAGGTGGTGCAGGTGGGGGCTGTGCTGACAGCAACACGCACCCCCCATGCAGGTGTGTGCAAGATGCATGCATGGGTGCACATGTGAGGTCCGGACCACGCGCGCAGCAGCCGCCGCCACCAGAACCCGGCTCTGCCCCCGTGATTCCCGCCTGGCTCCGATCTGGGTCTCGGATCTAGTTCAACCACACGAGGATCCCCAGGGGCGGCTTGCAGGGACAGGGACAGGGACACAGCAGGGATGGGGACACAGCAGGGATGGGGATGCAACAGGGACATGGCCCCCCCACTCAGCTGGACGTGGGGACCTCCAGGGCACCCTTGTCTCCGTGGAACAATCCGCGTCTCTTTGCAGGGATGGGTGCCCCCCAGTGCTGGGTGCCCTCCAGGGTGGCACCCTGCACCTTGCTGCCCCCAAGCCCTTGGCCACGTGCAGGTGACAGGGGCCACCCCAGCGGCAGTGCCCCGTGGCAGGAGGGGCAAGGTGGGCAAGATCCAGGGCTGCATTTTGGGGGGATTTTTCAGCTTTCGGAGCTCGCAGCTGCCAATGGCAGCCCGGGTCTCCACGGGAGCGGGGAGAGAGCGTGAGACACCGGCGCAAACCAGTTCCAATAAACCCGGGTAAAAACGGTGGCGATTTCCTGCCGTGGGGACGAACAAAGCCGCCTCCCCCCGCCGGACGGCGCCGCCGGAGCCCCCGGGCAGCGGCCCCAGGGCCGCCCCCCGTCCGGAGATCCGGGGGGCTCGTGGTCYCCGCTCCCCCAGCGCGGCCCCGACGGCGATTTTCGGGGTCTTTTGTCCCTCCCCTCCCCCCTCCTGCGGGGACCCAGCGCGAGGGGGCAGCGGGGGGGGGGGGAAGGACACTTCAAAGTCACCGGCAACTTGGACCCGACGGCCGCCCCCTCCCCGCCCGCCGGGGACGCTCGGTACCCCCGCGCCGTCGGAGGCGGCCGCGCTCTGCCCGGCACTGCCCGCTCGCTCGCACGGCGCCCGGGGCACCGGCCAAGCCCCCGCGCTGCCGCCGCGCGGACGGGACCCCCGCCCCGACGGCTGCCCCGGGGCACCGGCCGCGGGACACCCCTCCCCCCGGGAACGCAGATCCCGCCAAGACGGGATGGTTTGAAGGGGGGGGGGCAACGCCGGTGCAGCCCCTCGGTGCCCCCCGCCCCTCCGGGAGTCCGCGCTGCCGGTTCCCCCCGTCCCTTTGTACTGGGGCCCGGCGGAGCCGCTGACAGCGGCGGCGGCGCCTTCCAACAGCCCCGGGGGGGTCCCCGGCCGCCGCCGCGCCCACCCCCCAGCACCCGGCGG